ATCGGGGGCATAAACTGGGATCCTGAACTGGGATCCCAAACTGGAACCCTTAACTGGGACCCCAAACTGGTACCCTGAACTGGTACCCCAAACTGGGACCCAAAACTGGGACCCAAACTGGGACCCTGAACTACGACCCCAAACTGGGACCCCAAACTGGGACCCCAAACTGGGGGAAACCTGCACTCCCATGAGCTCAGGCGCCCACAGCCCCCCACTGTCCCTCCCCCATATCCAGAGATGTCCCCACCCCTCCGAATGTCACCGCCAGGTCCCCCCCAGCCGTGCCACCCCCCTCTGTCCCTCCTGCCACCTCTGCTGTCACCTCCCAGAACGCTTTGGGGTGCGGGGACCCGCCTCCAGCTGCCCACCTGCGTGACAGGGACACCCCGGGGACAGGACATTGTCACCGCCTGGGTGGCGGTGCCGGGCTGGGCACAGGAGGGGGACAAACGCGTCCCTCGAGGGGACGAACGCGACCAGCGGGAAGAAATGGGGGCGGTTTTTCCTGGCAAAGGGACACGCGGGTGACACCCGAGCCAAGGGCTGGCGCTCCGCCAGGTGACCCGGGCAGGAGTCACCCGCGGGTGGCCGCTGTTGACAGCAAACACGGCGGGTGGCCGGGCAGGGCCAGCTCGGCTCGGGAGGGACCGGTGCCACCCGGTTGGGGACGAGGGGAGGTGACATCCCAAAGAGGTGGCTTCCGAACTGCCCGGCCCCGGCAGCGAAGGCACAAAGGTCACAACGGACGCCCTTGGTGACAGCGGGGGCTTGGGGACAAGGTGACAGGGGGATCGTCCAGCCCCGTGTGGCGCTGGCACGGTGCCAGGTGTCCCGATGTCGCCGTGGGATGTGGACACAGCGGGAAGGGCGCCCCGGCACCTCTGGGGTGTCGCCACGGCGCCTCACAGGTGTCCCCAGGGTGGGGACACCTTCCCCAGTCCTTGTGGGTGCGGTCCCCAGGAGGGGACACCCCCGCAGCCCCACACTGTCACCCTGGCCCCCGAGAGACACACGTGGCCCCTGTGCCACCCTGCCTGTCGCAGTGCCACCCGGCTGTCCCCTCCTGAGCCAGTGTCACCCGCCCATCCATCCCTGCCATCCCTGCCTGTCCCAGTGCCACCCACCCGTCCCTGTCACCCCTGCCTGCCCCAGTGTCACCCACCTGTCCCTGTACCGGCTCCAGCGCCACCCACGCACTCCTGCCCGGTGTCACCCCCTCGTCCCTGCCACCACTGCTCGGGGACAGAGGGATGTCCCTGCCCTCCCCGGGGTCCCCCCTCGGTGTCCCCGTGTCCCCCACTCACTCAGCCGGGGGTTGCTGTGGAAGTCGCGGGTCACGGCCAGCCCGTGCTCGCGGGCGGCCGCCAGCTCTGTCGCCGCTGCTGTCACCTTGGTGGCGGCCATGGCCCTGTCCCTGTCCCTGTCCTTGTCCCCGTCACGGTCCCGGTCCCGCCGGGCAGGGCACGGCAGCGCCCCGGCTTTTGTAGCCCCGGCCCGGCCCCCGCCGGTCCCGCCCGCGACACCGGCAGCAAAGGTGACACCGGAGACACAGGTGACACCGGAGACACGGGTGACACCGGAGACACAGGTGGCACCGTGTTGGCTGTAAACAGCGGGAGGGAGCGGCCGGAGGCGGGATCGCGGGAGCCGGGATGGGGGCAGGGAATGGGAATGGGAACGGGATAGGGATGGGGAATGGGAACGGGAATGGGAACGGGAACGGGAATGGGAGTAGGAGTGAGAGTGGGATGGGGAATGGGATAAGGGATAAGGGACAGAGATAGGGATAGGGATGTAGATAAGGGGTAGGGATAGGGATAGGGATAGAGATAGGGATGTAGATAAGGGGTAGGGATAGGGATAGGGATAGAGATAGGGATGTAGATAAGGGGTAGGGATAGGGATAGGGATAGAGATAGGGATGTAGATAAGGGGTAGGGATAGGGATAGGGATAGAGATAGGGATGTAGATAAGGGGTAGGGATAGGGATAGGGATAGAGATAGGGATGTAGATAAGGGGTAGGGATAGGGATAGGGATAGAGATAGGGATGTAGATAAGGGGTAGGGATAGGGATAGGGATAGAGATAGGGATGTAGATAAGGGGTAGGGATAGGGATAGGGATAGAGATAGGGATGTAGATAAGGGATAGGGATAAGGGAATGGGATAGGAAAAGGGACAGGGATAAGGGAATGGGATGTAGATAAGGGATTGGGATAGGGATAGGGATAGGGATAGGGACTGGAATAGGGATAGGCGATGGGGTAGGGATGCGGGTAAGGAATAAGAACAGGGAAAAGGGGTAGGTGTAGCGACAGCGGGATAGGGATAAGGGATAGGGAGAGGAATTGGGATATTCCTGCTCCTCAGCAGGGATAAGGGACATGAGATAGGGAATGGGATAAAGGCTAGGGAGAGGGAAAAGGAGAGGAATGGGGATAAGGAATAGAAATGGGAAAAGGGATAGGGATAAGGGGTTGGGATAGGGATAAGGAATAAGAATAGTGATAGGGGATGGGGGTCGGGGTAGGGATAAAGCGTAAGGAAAAATGGGATAAAAAAATTGGGAAATAGGAAAAATAGGGATAAGGGATTGGGATAAGGAATAAGCAGAGGGAACAAGGGGTGCACGGTTTGTCAGGGGCTCTGAGGACACAGCAGAGCGGGCAATGGTGGCCTTAGAAATGTCACCCTGCGATGTCACCCACGGGGCCAATGACACTCGGAGCGGGGGGCGGGGGGCGATGGAGGATGAGGAGGAGGCGGAAGGAGGCAGGACGTGACTTTTATTAACATTGGAAACCATAAACCCCCAGATTTTTCCTTAAAATTTGACATCCAGTTGTTGGTTTCCCAGTCATCCCGGTCTGGAGGAGCCCCTGGCATCGAATGGGACAAAGCGGGCGTGTCCCCAAGCTGTCCCCGACCCCCGCGACAGCTTCGCTTTGGAGAAAGGAGCTTTGGAAAATCTTTGGGTGGGATTTGGCACTTTTGGAGTCAAACGGGCAAAAGGAGCAGCGCTGGGATTCCCGCGGATCTTTCAGGATCACCGGAGCAGGCAGGAAAACCCCGAGGATATTCCCAAATCCACATTCCCAAATGCAACCCCGGCTTTGTGGAATTTCCCGGCTTGGAAAATCCCTAAATCCCCGCTGGAGTGGGGCTGGGAAAAGGGAAAAGCAAAATCCAAGCGAGGCCCGGCTTGGGGTTGGGGACAGAATTCCAGAGGCGGGGACACGGCCACTTCCCTGTCCTGGCTCCACCTGGATCGGGAAGAGGCGGGATCGACATAAATTAAAGGGTTAGGGGATGAGCGGAGGAAAAATCCCAAATATCGCTGGAGCAATTCCAGGCGAGTCGTGCCAGAATTGGAGGGAGGGAGGGAGGGACAGGCAGGATTGTCACTTGTCACCTGTCCCTGCCTCAGTTTCCCCGCCCGAGCCGTCCCCATAAAAGGCTTCAAAGGGAGAAATAACAATTCCCTAAAAACGGGGGAAATTAAAAAAAAAAAGACGGAAAGTTTCTCATAAAATCTTTTATTTTAAATATTTCCCTGCAAAATCCTGGGAATTCGGGGGCATGGAGAGCAGCAGCCCGGGGGTGGGGGGGAGAAGGGGATGCTCAGTGTTAATTATCATTATTAATTAATGAATTGATTAATTAATCAACAGCAGCGGGTTTGGGCGTGTGGGGGGAGCCCCCAGGGCAGGGCCTGGGTGTGGGGAGGGGGCTCGGGGTGTCCCCCTGGGCCTGGCACAGCCGTGTCCCTGCAGGGGGGGTGGCACTGCGGGGTGGTGACACCCCAGGACACACCTGGACAAGGTGATGCCACCGCAGGGTGTCCCACCGAGGTGACACTCACCCCCCCCCCCCCCCCCCCCCCCCCCCCCCCCCCCCCCCCCCCCCCCCCCCCCCCCCCCCC